CCTCGCCTCCCTAACCCCTCCTCGCTCCCTCGCTTCCCTCCCCTCCCCCTGACCATTCCCCCCCCCCACTGCTCGGGTCCCGACCCAACTGTCCAGCGCCTCGGGACGTCCTCCCGACGTGAAAGGCGCTCTGTCAATGCAGTCTTGTTGTTGTTGTTGTTGTTGTAAGCGAGAGACTTGGGTTCGATGTCACCTCACTCCGCGCCAGGGAGGGCGGGCGGAGAGAGGCGGTGGGGGGGGGGTGGGGTGGTAGTGGGTGGGGGCGCGGGGGGGGTGGGTGTGGGGGTGGGAGTGGGTGGGGGCGCGGGGGGGGTGGGTGTGGGGGGTGGGGGTTGGGAGTGGGTGGGGGGCGCGGGGGGGTGGCGTGATAGCTGCTGCGGCCGATGACATCCCCCGGGGGATAACGACTGCGCCTTCCGACAAAAAACAACAACAACAGCAACAGCGACGACGACGACAACAACTACAACAACAACGACGGCGACAACAACTCGGCGGCTCGGCCCACGGCCGTTTGCGGGGCCGCCGCCGCGTGCGATCGGGGGGGCGGGCGGTGGGGGGGGGTGCGGGGGGGGCGGCACAAACGCGCGGACGAAGGCACCGGCTTTTTTTTTTTTCCACGGCGCTCTGAGGCGCTTGTGCTGTCTTGACTGGCGTCACCTCCGATGCTGCTCCACGTCGGGGCTACTTCGTTGGGGCTACTCGTTGGGCTACGCGTTGGGCGACTCTTCGGGCTATTTTTTGGGGCGGCTTTGGGCGGCTTTGGGCGGCTTTGGGCTACCCAGGGCGCCGCCGCGCCTCTGGCGCCCCCCGGCGGCGGGGAGGGGGAGTGGGGGGGGGGGGGGGGGGGGTGAAGCGGCCCCGTTTAATGGCGGCGGCGGCGGCGGCGCTGAGTCTCTGTGTGTGTGTGTGTGTGTGAGAGAGGCCGAGGAGGAGCCGCCGCGGGAGGGGAGGGCGGGGCACGAGGACCGAGCGGCCGCGGTGAGTACCGGGGCCCGCGGGGGAGCGGGAGGCCGCGGGTCGGGCCCCCGGGGCCCCGGGGCGGGGAGCAGGAGGCGGGGCCCCGGGGCCTGAGCCGCGGCCTCGGCCTCTCCCGCCGCCCGAGAGCCGCCCGAGAGCCGCCGGAGAGCCGCGGCCGCTCACACCCCTCACACCCCCCCCTCAGGGCACCGACCACTGACTCACAGTCACTACACTGTCACTACACACACACAGTCACTACACACACACAGTCACTACACACACACACAGCCACTGACTCACAGTCACTACACTGTCACTACACACACACACACAGCCACTGACTCACAGTCACTACACTGTCACTACACACACACACACAGTCACTACACACACACACACAGTCACTACACACACACACACACACAGTCACTACACACACACACACACACAGTCACTACACACACACACACACACAGTCACTACACACACACACAGCCACTGACTCACAGTCACTACACTGTCACTACACACACACACACAGTCACTACACACACACACAGCCACTGACTCACAGTCACTACACTGTCACTACACACACACACACACACACAGTCACTACACACACACACACACAGCCACTGACTCAGTCACTACACTGTCACTACACACACACACACATAGTCACTACACACACAGCCACCGACTCACAGTCACTACACTGTCACTACACACACACGCACACACACAGCCACTGACTCACAGTCACTACACTGTCACTACACACACACACACAGTCACTACACACACACACACACAGCCACTGACTCACAGTCACTACACTGTCACTACACACACACACACACACACACACAGTCACTACACACACACACAGTCACTACACACACACACACACACAGCCACCGACTCACAGTCACTACACTGTCACTATACACACACACACAGCCACCGACTCACAGTCACTACACACACACACACACACAGTCACTACACACACACACAGTCACTACACACACACACACAGCCACCGACTCACAGTCACTACACTGTCACTACACTGTCACTCTCTCACACACAGCCACCGACTCACAGTCCTCACAGTCACTACACTGTCACTCTCTCACACACAGTCACTGACTCACAGTCACTACACTGTCACTCTCTCATACACAGTCACTGACTCACAGTCACTACACTGTCACTACACACACACACACAGTCACCGACTCACAGTCACTACAGTGTCACTACACACACACAGTCACTACACTGTCACTCCCTCACGCACAGCCACTGACTCACAGTCACTACATAGTCACTCCCTCACACACAGTCACTCCCTCACACACAGTCACTCCCTCACACTCAGTCACTCCCTCACACAGTCACTCACACACAGTCACTCCCTCACACTCAGTCACTCCCTCACACTCAGTCACTCTCTCACACACAGTCACTGACTCACAGTCACCCCCTCACACACAGTCACTCCCTCACACACAGTCACTCACATATAGTCACTACACAGTCACTCCCTCACACACAGTCACTCCCTCACACACAGTCACTGACTCACAGTCATTCCCTCACACACAGTCAATTCCTCGCACACAGTCACTCACACACAGTCACTACACAGTCACTCCCTCACACTCAGTCACTCCCTCACACAGTCACACACAGTCACTCCCTTACAATCACTCCCTCGCTCTCTCACTCACGCAGTCACCTACTCAAATACTCAGTCACTCGCAGTTGATTGCTCTTCTGAGGGCTGGTGATTGGGCTAGTAATTGGGCTATCCCTTAATGACAGTATGCA